TAGTCCAACAACTGGTACAGCAAGCCAGACACTGCACACAATGAACCCTGTGTGTCCCAACTCACATAGAATCCAACACCATCTCCCTGGGCCTTTCATCCTAAGTCTCACAAAATTCAACAACAAGTTCCTCAGGTACGGTACCAAACCTGCCAAAACCTCACAAAACCTGCTGTTGGAGTATGGCAGGTTTTGGGCAGTTAGGATTTAAAGGAGTGACATATTCCAAACACTAGAAGAGAAATGCTTCCTCGAAATCTCAGTGTTGAGATCCAATCAATTTTTCGGAATCACTTATGACTTCCTATTTCTCAAAAATTTTTACTTTATTTTGTACTTTGTCAAGGTGTAACGAGGGAAGGGAACCCTCATAATTTTTTAAGTGTTCTCAATTGTTCTGAAAGTCTGGTTGGAATGTAGCTAAAAACAAAATTTCAAGCAACAGAAAATATTTGCAAATGGTATATGAAGAGACAAAAGAACTCTGTTGTTGTATCTTGAAACAGAGAACATGTTAATTTCATTTGTGAAAGATGAAAAAACCCTATAATAAAAAACAGTTGTGACGATCTTAAGTCTATCACACTCCACCCTTTTAAGCAGTGCTGCTGACACACAACAACAATTTCACACTCACAAGACGAACTGCTAAAAGCATGTGAAAATTATTGCAAATAATCTGAGAAATACATCACTGCCCACACAACCATTCCTTGCAAATCACCAGGACAGCATACATTCCCTTGCCCATGCATCCATCCACTTCTCCCCTTCACTTCGACCGGTAAGCATGTAATAACCTGCTTCTGAGGCCAATCCATTAAAATATTTAAAATCGGTTTTCGGCCAAGCACCATTGCTCTGGACACTGATTGATGGGCAGTTAGGCACTAGCAGCCCAGGTCAATATTTCCATGCATCACATCTCAGATTAGCATTCCCAATGGCTTGACTATATTTTATTTATAGTAAATCTACGCAGGTACCTTGATAATATCAGACAACACAAGGTTTTATTTAATGCTCTGCCAGCTCACAAGTGTGTCTTGTTCCATAAAAATTATTAGGACCGAACAAATTTTATGCAATATTTTCCTATGAAAAAGACAAGTGTAAAGCCAATAGGACAAAAACTGCATTTTGCAAAAATGTTGTCAGAGTAAAAATACAGACAGATTCAGATAATACTGGAAGATGTTGGATTAAGTAATTACTAGTGCAGAGTCAATTCAAATGATTTGTTCATCGAATATCCAACTATTCAGTTGTACTGACCAGCAGATTGTTGTGAACTATCCATACACAAAAATCAGTTGCAATAATGCACACAATTGTACATGTACATTATAATCACAATAATAGCTTCTCACGTCTAGGACTATCTCCTGTCACAATTTAGCAAGATCTAGAGAGGAACAATACTTCTTTTCCTTAAAAATCTTTTAATGAATAATTAACTTTGTGATTCATTGTAAGAATTCTGTCGCTTTTCATTTGAATCTGCTAGAAACAAGGCTCCACAGTGCAATTTATCTCACTTAAAACAAAAGACAATTCTCCCTTCGTTTTCATGAATTTTGCATTAGAATATTCGAATTCGAAAATAATATTCGATACTCGATCGAATATCCAGATATTTGGCACAGTCCTAGTAATTACATACATAAAAGGATTAGCTTTGCCACACTTTGGAAGACTCACAAGCACTAAGTGCTCTATTTTTCAGTGGCTGTAAGAGGTATTGATAAAGATTGATATTTAATTCTGCATCTTGCTACTTACTAGCAGCAACCACAAACTTTTTTGCTTTTTTTCCGTTGAAAATAGATTTATTCCTAGCATAAGAAACTGGACTACGCCATCCATTTTCTGACAGGATGTGCGTATTCATTTCCATCAACATCTCCTCTCTACGGACTAGTAATAGTGAGACTGATGTGGTGAGTGTGACGATAAATGAAATTAATGCATTTATGCCCAGAGAAATTATGAAAGGAACCGGCTATCTCTGAGCTCAAGGGAAGACATTATTATTGTTCTGTCTTGCTGATGAAGGCTGCATCCATTATGCCAAGGGAAGAGATAAGTCACAAAGACATGAGAGAGACCTCTGAGGCCATTTATAATAACTGACCTCAATTCAAGAACACATTGATATTACAGCGAGTCGATAAAATCTGCTTCAGGAGGAAAACAAGAACTGTAGGTCACTTGTCTGCAAGGAGAAACTAGTCAGTGAGTCAATGTAATCTATTCTTTCCAATGAATAAAAAGGAGACACATCACTGGCATTCTACTTTGAGTTATCAATGAAACAAAGGAAAGTGACCCGCCCTGTGGAATTCAATACCAGTATTCGGGAGGTCAAGTTAAATTCCATGTGGATTCCAATCTTAAAAAATAGACATACATTGTATTGTCTCATGGACCATAGCCTATTCAACCCACTGACAGTAGTCACAAGGTCCAAGTAAACAAACTAAAAACAATCCAGAAAAGCTCTCCACACCTTGGTTTTAAAGGGAAAAAAATTCAAAATCAGTTCACCAGACTTTTTTTCATAAGACAATGAGTAAAGCCGAGTGACTTACTTTGCCTTCGTCCTTGTCATGTCCAGCCACTTGTCCAGATGCTATGGTCACAGTGTTGGGATGAATGGCAAGACTGATTATAAAAAGAAACAAAGGAAACACATTGTAGAAAACAAGCATACCATGTCATATACACTTCTAATTCATTTGACAAATACCGGAAGATTTCGTTACTCGGAGACCTGTTTCCAAATGGATTTGTCTCTAGCTGCAGACAGATTCAGCCATTTTTAATGTCCGAGCCAAGTGTTAATACACATTTGACTTCCACAACAGGATTCAACATTCCCGAGGCAATACGTACTTGGACTTATGAGTTGCCTTAACCCAATCAAGGGCCAACATTCTCCAGATGCCGAAGCTGGAGACAACAATGATTTAGGGAGGGGGAAACTTTAAATCATGGCCAGTAAAACAATTAACAAAAGAGCAAATATCAAGGTTGAATATTGGAAACCTATAAAGAGTGCAAAATTAAATCTACATGTAGCACGCTCAGATTTGCCTGTAGTCTGCTCTTGTGACACAAACTATTCTTATGGGGACCAAAACTAGCAGAACTATTCCAACTTGGTTGGTATTAAATTTTACTTCTAAATGTACATTTGCCCTATAACTTCCAAAAGATGGTCAAGTTTTTCTTTAGTAGTTAAGTGCTTATTATTTGGTGTTGTGATAGTTGGTGAGTTTTTATAACTTAGTGAATTGTTCTTTTACTTTTGTCCATCTATACTTTATCCGCTACTAGTAAGCAAAAATCCGACTGTGATGTACAAAAGGGCTAATTATTGCAAAAACTATACAGGATCTGAAATTTTGATCCTGGGAAAAAGCTTCCAGAAAAATTTTGCACGGATCAAAGAACCTCAGTGTAAATATTGTTAGTAAGATGATGGCAGATGAGGTGCTTCATGACATTCCACTTTACTGTTAGGTCTACTTACACCAGCTACATCTGAGCTAACTTACCACTTGACATCGTCATTGTGCCCCAAGTAATGTCTCTGGGTGTTCTCTTGCACGTTGTGCAGGATGACTACAGCTGCCATAAAGTAGACAATCTCCCCAGTTGGCAAGATATGTAAGTTGGTGCGGCAGTCTTTCCCTCTGTAACCATACCTATCCCAGGCGTTAAGGCAAATCTGGCATGGGCTTTTCACTCACATGGTATCTCTACCTGTCAAGTTCTGAAGCCTTTTGAAGCTCTTTACTAATGGGACCAAGTGAAAGTCCTATCCCAGGACCAGTCGCGAGAAGCGAGGTGTGTTGGACATGTGATGAGCTTGCAAGGACCCATAACGGACTTGACTACAGCCATGGGTTGAAACTAGTACTGGTCTTCTGAAGTATTTCCATATCCTGAAACTACAAGCTAATCCATATCTTAAATCAGACACATGATTTGTATGTTGTTCCAATGAAGCAAACTGTTAGTCTGGAGTCAACTGACCTAGGTAAGAAAGCCTATTCCTATCAAGGACTGGCACCAAAATGGACATTTTTTTTAAGAGGTTACAATTTCAAGTTTTGCAAGCATGGCCCTTTGTTCAAATACCCACTTAGGCACCTTGAGCTTCAAAATCAAAACCTGGAAAAAGATTGCATAAAACAGGCAGCAATAACACCAATCCCAATGCCATTACCAAAATTCCTTGCCATCTGTGGCAAAAAAGGATACACCCATTCCAACTTGAGCTTCTCCGCTGGGGGGTCTTGCTTTGCTTTGATCGAGTATTCTCCAACATCAGTTGGCATGAACATGGTAACCGGTCGCCCTCTCATATACATACGTACCCATCCTTCATCTGTTGGTGATACAAAAAAATTCCTTGTGAGAATTTTAGATGATTTTTCATCAGTAATTGTAGATGTATCAAAAACCAATGAAGGTGGCATCATAAGGGGTTGATGGCTAAGTTCATTCAAACAGATTTCAGTTTAATTTACCATTTGTATCTAGTAACAGAAAAACACTGATTCTATTTAACACATATTCAAAGCTATGTTCAGGGATAAAAGTAATGTTTACAAATGGTTCTTAGCACTTCAGATCCTGCTACAATAAATTAGACTGACAAAACTCAGTGAAGAAGTGCTCATTACATGTTAAATGCTGGGATAGTTAATGCATGCCTATTCCCCATCCTTCTGTAATGTAATGAAATGAGTTGTGACAAAGTTAATTTTTACAACATTAAGTCCACGTACCCAATGTCAGATTTTTCTCATGACAAAGACAAATCTGGACTAACACAGTTGTGTCTTAATTATTGGTTATTGTTGCAGTATCATTGTCCGTCTCCTCTAGCATGACTGATGTGCAGGTATCAACCCAAGGCATCTGTCTGGACTGACGGGAGTGACTTTAATATCAAATGGCTAACGCTGCTTGTTTGAGCTTTACAGGTGGCCGGTTTTGCAAGACCAGAAAGCAAACTTGCCCGTCACCTCTAGACAAGGAAATTTTGTCAGGGTGAGTGATGGTAACCCTGAAAACTGATTAGACTAAAGACAGTAATCAAGCTAATGTTGCCAGAGTTTCCACTTCAGTAATGAGCACGGATGGTTCAAATCCCAATAGAGGCCCTGAAGTACAAGCAGCTTTGGCTTTCACAGTCTCCGAAATGGGTCTTCTCAGTATCCATTACTAATGCACACGTATTTTCATTACCTGTTTATCTGAAGTACCTGACCATGAAAAAAGGCCAGTTCTGAGCAGGAAAATTACACCAATTATATTACACGCTAGTACAAAGTAACAAATCCTATTTTATTGACAGGCAAATATACACTTGTATGTAGGAGGATTTAAATAATGAGTCACAACGTCTCTTCGTTAGTTTCAAAATTATGTTCACAGCTTTTTTAACGGGGCATGGGAAAATGGCATTAAAAATGTAAGGATTCAGAGCTAACAGGGATAAGAACAACAATGTGTCAACCTGCATGTAGGTCAATGTAGAAAAGAGGAAATCTACCTGTAGGTCATTCTGATTCCAAATGTACAGTTCACACAAGTCCAGACCATGCTGGATTGTGCACATGGGCATGTTTGGCTGTGGGAATGGGCATTAAATGATCCACTGCAAACATTGATTTGCATTTTAAACACTGGGACGATCAATACAGTAGAAAAGTACATGTCCATAAGAAATCAAGCAACAGATCAAAAACTAACACAGTTAAGTACGCATGTAACAACTGATCTATCCCAGCCACTACCTGCAGATTCTTCGACAGTGCACCTTGTGTGGGTGGTTTAAAAGGGCAAGTTGATTCATTCTGTTGTCCTCTGCTCAGGATAAAACACTGTGCTGCTTTACAGTGCACATCTGCAGCCATGCATACTTCCATATAAAAACACTTCTAAAATGGCACGCAAACCTGCTTGGGATCGGTTCAAGTTTCAGAAACAATAATTTTGTACCGTATACACAGTGTATACCGGATAGGGTTTTTAAGAGCACAGCCAAATTTCAAGGGGGGTACACTTGCTTGGGAAATTGCAAGGAACCAGTCACAGGCAGGATGCATCGCATGGAAATTTGGCTGGTGCCCTAATTTTGCTCCAAAAATCATTTCTGTGCTTAGAAAAACTTGTGTGCTGGCTACTCCATGAAATTGTATTCCAGAGGTAATCGGGCAGTTCAGTATTCCAATTAACAGTACAAGCCCAATATGAAGTGGATCCCACGTCATTCAGGTGCAGCAATACCCAAGCACAAGGTCTACCCTACCGGCACATCCATTGGCTCACTCCAACATGTACTTTGTTTTTGAATGAACTCAGCTTTTTCAAAAACTGAATGGGTTCATTGACAAACTACCTTAAGAGGCAAACTTGATTGTGCTTCCACAGACAGCTACCGGTACATTATTCCTAGGAAATCCCACAGCATGCATATGCAAGTGAATTGGAACAAGCAAAGGTCTCACAAAGCTCCTGAGATTTCAATGGTCGCTATAATTTTGCACTGTAACTTAAGATCCTTCCATCTCTGTCCTTTAAGTGGCCAAATTGTCAACTGTGCAGAACGCATGTGCAGAGCTGTGAGTGTGTGTACATGTATATATACATGTACATACATGTATACACAATTCAAACAAATAAAAAAAATGACCTTGGATCAGAATCAAATTTAAACTCATGTCAAGACACTATTCTAAAGTGCTGGTCTTTCTTTAACCTCTGAATCTGATGAACTGGCCCAACCTGTTTAGAGTAGCTGCCACCTTGCGAAGAAAGAGTCATTATTTCAAATAATTTCATTCCCATTTGACGTTTGTCAATTTCTGATTATATTCCACTTCTACGTGTACATCCCTCTCTTCTTGGTGGGGAAACATTTCTACAAGGTGCACCAGCAGTCTGCTCAATACATGTAGCTGTATAACTAGCCAGTTAATGCAAATCACGTGCAAGTTTCAGAATGAATAGTTTGGAGTGCTTGGTTGGCCATGCGTAAACAGGAGAAGCAAGGCGATAAAAGCTAGCCATATGCATAGAATGAAAAGGACCAGAAGGGTTTACATACATGTACATGTATGTGCTGGTTTGGGGGTGGGTCGGATCACAGAACAAAACACAACAATGTCAGGCAAATGATGATTATAAAAAACAGACACCATTGTGTCTGATCGGAAAAGAAAATCTCTCATATACTACCGGGGTATGTAAATCAGCAAGGGATACACTCTCGACTAGGATGAATAGCATGGCAGTGTTCGGTTGAAATCGTTCACTGTACTTCTTAAAAGTACGCATCAAAGAAGCCTTGAAATGTTCTTGTGCTACAAACTAATCAGATTTGAACTCCTTGACAATACTACATGTATCTCTCACATGATCTACGCTAGAAAAAAAAACCTTGATACACACAGCAATCTGATGCCACAATGCATACAATGGTTCAAGGCTCCACACAAGTTTATCACTTGATGATTCAACAGTCTTGCACTTTTTAAAATGTGCTCCAGTTTCCATAAAAACTGGAATAACAATGAGACTCATCAGAACAACACTATCAACTGCCACCACCCATAGCTCCAACTGTGCACACACCAACATGACAGGCATGAAGGGGTAGGGTGGCCTTGCAGGAACTTCAAAATCGATGCACATTGAGATCATGATGATTAACGATCCGATCCTGTTGGGCCTTTTGATAAAATTTATCCTGGTGCTAGGAAAAGAATCAACTAGAACTGGCACACCACTATTGAAGAAAGCACTAAATTTTTGTTTTCCTCTGGGTCAAGTGAAAGTACCCATTGATCACTGTGGAGACATTCAAACTGTTTGTGGAGTAAATTTTTTGAAAATTTGGACACCAAGCTGGGCACCAGTGACAGATGCCAGATGAACAGTTTTGAATGTCATGCTGTTCATGGTAATGGTTACACTGTGCAAACTTTATACATGTGCTTCTGATCTACAATGCCATGAAGGTTCCGACAACACACAATCAAAATTCGGCTTTTTGCATTTCACTTTTAACTTGTATAGTCTAGGAACAAAAAATTCCCTTCCTTCATTCCCTTTAACTAAAATGAATTCCATTAAATGAATAAATTACACAAGAAGAAATACAACGTTTTAAAAAGGCAACTGACGTTTACGGTGTATTATAAATTGACTTTGTAAATCAGAAATCTTCACAGAGAGTGCATCTTTAACGATCACATATTCATAATGACTTCCTTCCTGACAGAACACACTGAAATGGAACATCAATCTCAAGAACACTGCCTAATAACTACAGCTTACATGTTATATGAGCTGTATGGCTAATAGATCAGTAGCCATTTGGAACAACCATTAGCCATGCGATGCTAGTTATTCAAATTACAAGCTACGTGTAGTTCCACACAAGAGTTATAGGCAATCCCGCGAGGCAGTGCATTTCATGGTTAATGTTTCTGTGGCATGTACGGATTCTATGAATACTATACTGTACATGTAATGTACATGTAAATATACACTGTACATGTATATATTCAAATGTCCATACGTACAATGGGCAGAGTATCTACTTTAGTGTAGAATTACATGTATGTTGCTCCAACCTACAATTGCCAGTTGAAAAATTCAGATTCTGCAGATCTGCACCTAGGTACAGGTGCACAACTTCAAATATGGCATACACATATATGGTGCACATGTACATGAATGGGCACACTGAGTCTACATGTACATGTGAAGTGTCTGAAGTACATGTACATATGCACTTCATTGTTCTCCCAACAGCTACGCGTGGAGTGTTCTTTTCTTCCCTTCAGGAGAATTCCCCTGTGGGCTACTATTCATCCTCAGACTTTCCTCGCAGGTCGAACAGTTCCTATTGAAGGATACCCCGAAAGTACTCCTACGTAAGAGAAATATTGTATTTTGTACGTTTGTATATGACCACGGCATGCAGTACAATAGAACAACTGCCAAGCACAAAGTTAGACCTGATTGAAGTTCAAGTTCAATTAAGTAAGTCTAGTCACTGAGGTGGGCGGTGCATTCAGAAGAATGAAACCTGTTCACACCACTCAACCTTCTCTTCTACATTAGGACATACATGCGTATTTCTGTAAGTACATTTGCACTGATGCCACATGGCATGTCTCCTTCTGACCACGACAGCATACACTTTGAAACAATGAACATCCAACAGTCCCTGTCAATTACGCACAAACTCACACAAGGAATTGTATGTCGTGTGATGACACTGCATTTTGCAAACATGAAGTTTGCAATTCTAGAGCTTTACAAAGAAAACTTAAGCTTCCAACACTGCACACTACAGAATGGTAGCCTTCACTAAATTAAAAATTCCCATAGCAGCACTGAGCACACAATTGATTTTTAATGATAATTCATTATGTTTATAATATCAATTCATGCATGTACATATTTTTTTGATTAATAGAAATATTATAAATGTCACTTTGCATTGAAGAGTAAAATTTATCACACTGCAATAATCTGGCTGTTTTTACGTCTATAATACAAGTGACATGAAGGCAGCATAAAAAAATCTAATGCCGTCGCATTTCAACTCCAATGGAAAAATGAGGCTACCTGCAAATATAATGGAAGTTTCCAAAGCCTAGGGCTTTATCAAGGTCAGGTCAGCTATATGCAAATTATACTAGTCAAGTTCCTTTTAACTGGGCAATGTGCTTTTAGATGTGCTGGTGGCCTATGTGTATAGTACTTAGTGTCATTCTTATACAAGTATTGTGCAATGCTTGAGTGGGTCCTTGCTCTTCAAGTGCACACCAACTGAAATCCAACTGTAGACCTCTGATGAGTACCTCAGTGTTGAATCTCTCAGAAAGTTATGGAAAGTTGGAACTGAAGAGGTTCCCGAACTAATTTTCTTTTTTTTTTCTGAACATAAAATGAATCATCATATCATGAATATGGATGGTCACAGATTAAAATTTAGAAATCATAAATTTCTAAAATTTTTTTAAGTCAGTTTCTTACATCATCTTGGAGGAAACCCAGCATGCATTTTCCATTTTGTTCTAGTTTCCTATGAATAAGGCTTCCCTTAATTAACCCCTTTGTCTTAGAAAGAAAATATATCGGGGCACTGCCACGTAGACTGAAAATGCAGTTTAAGAATGGCTCTGAATGGAGTCTGAATGCTTACAGAATTATGACAAATCTGCGCTTGAGTTTTTATTACTTTTTTCTTCTTGATTATTTAAACTCATTTGTCCCTTTAAATTGAGCTGAAAGAATAACATGCGGCCTTCAAGGTCTACCTAATGAGAGAGTTCCCAAGTCTGTCTACGCACATAGGCCACTTCACCAAAATCCCCTCCCTTCTTTGTCATTTCCTGTAAACGTTTTCCTTGGAGGGTTTTCAAAAGGACTTTGACGAGGCTCAGCCAAGCGATAGGATCTCCGCATGAAGGAAATGCACATGTGCAGACACTTTGGAACTTGCCACCTACTCAATTATTCATCAAAACTGGCTGGGGAAAATATATCTAAAGCAGCTAGGGTGACAAGGGATTCTTACAAAGATATTTCGACAGTGGAGGGGTCTGTTCTTGCTACTGAATTCTTGCTTATTAATTAAATGATGGATGTGATGTCCCCAGAATAATACTATATTTCTCCTTAGATGGAGTGCATAACCTACAGTATATGGTGATTTGCACAGGTCACAACATTGGCAATTATGAGGAAAGTAATTCCAAATGGTACTAGTGAATGTTAGAGGATAGATAACTGATCAACTGTAATCCCTGATGACTGTTGTCACTATTGGAGTCCCCCTGTAGGGTACCACATTGACAAGCACATACTTTGTAGTACCAGTTTACAATTGAAGTGTAAAAAGCTGAACAGAGCATACTATTCAGAGTCAAGACCAAGCATAAGGGGCTCTTTTCAAAGCTAACTTTTCTTTTCACAAATTGTGTTTTTCTATAACTTATGTGCTGTCTAAACTTTTCAAATTTTTCTCAAAGTTATGACATGTGTTGAAAAGTACTTTGTCAAACAAAATACAGATTACAAAAGTTTGCAGATGAATTTTTCAATGTAAATGTAACTTTTTAAAATTGGAAATAACTTGGAAAAAAATACTTTTAAGAGGTAAATTCAACAGTGTGCTGGTATGTAAATACTGTGTCTTTAGGATCCAGTGATGCATAAAATACACAGTTGCCAAATGATTCAGATATAACGCAATCATTTGTGCTGCTGAAAAAATACAATCAGCATATGTAAAAATGTCACTCGCTTGCTGGTATGTGCAGCCACTACAAGCTACTTACATGTATGGACTAGCCTAAAATAAATAAATTCATTAGCCGTTTCAAAAATTCTTTTTTGATCCATATATACTGTACAATGTAAACGAACATTATAAGGTTCACATTGTGATATACCAGTAATTTTCAAAAACCTTCACTCACACAGTCACGCTTACTCAATTTTCCATCAAGGACCAGGGGCCAATTTCATACAGCTGCGTAAGCACAAAATTTGCTAAAGCGCGAGAAAAACCTTGCTTGATAAATCAGGTAACCCAGTTAAAACTCCATGTGATGTGTATTGTTTTGGGATCGTATTTAGCTGTCTTTTGATTAGCCTGACAATCAGGTGGAGTTTGAGCTAGTAACCTTTGTTTTTTAAGCAAGTTTTTTTTCACACTTAAGCAAATGTTGTGCTTAAGCAGCTCTATGAAATTGGCCCCTGCGCTAGTTAGCACAGTCCAGTATTGGTGCAATCCAAAAATAAAAATGAACAGTCTCCAGTGTTGTGACCTTAGTAAGGTTAATAATGCACTGTGGCTACAAAGCCCTTATCATGACTTCCCTTAATTAGCTCCTTAGCACCTGCCATGAATTATAAGTAAATGTCCATATTTGCAGCTCCTATTAAAGATGGGAGGCAAGTCTTGTCCTTAGTTATAATGAGCTTAAAGGGGCAATGTGGTTTGCTTTTCTTGGAGACACATTTTGGGCAACTCTCTGCTGAAGAATGTGGGTAAACTATTCTTCCTAAACATTCCTTTTTCGTTATTTTTGCTGATTGTAAAATCAGGTTGAATGGGACACAAAATGTACAGGTTAATAACAACTTCTCAGGATTTTTGCTATGGAGTAGGGACCTTCCTGAATCTCTAAAAACCTTCCACTATGCAGGAACTCACTAACACATTCCTGGTCAAAATTGGTATTCCAGAGGTCGCAGGTTCAAATCCCGCTCCAGTCAATTTCTTTGTTCATCTTCAGAATGAATTGTACACACCTAGTCAGTTTCCCAAAAAGTCTGTTCAACAATTAAAAGGACGTGACGCCTGTGTAAGGTGATGACAGAAAGTACCGGTATCTACATGTACCTCGATCAATTCTGCAAATCTTCCCAAACCTCCTACTTCATTCTGATGGACGTGACTGCAATTTGGGTTATTTCTGCTTTCAGCCAAGATGCATTTCCCTGTTAAACCCTTATTTACACTTGGGGAGGGGATAAGAACCGGGCCTTGTGTAGTGAAGGGGAAGAAACATGGAATATTTGACATTGGATATTTGAATGACATGCAACATCTCTGACTATTTTGTGCAATTCTGGCCTGGTAACTACTACATCATTTGAATTATACTTACCTGCATTGTATTGCGCCTCCTTGCTTGGCCTGCAAAACAACAAAAGCCACACGATTACTTACCCAAGTAGTGAACAAAAAGGAATGAATTTAAATTAATACAAAGAAATCAGAAACTGACTTTTCTTGAAAACATAAAAAATAGTGAGAAGAGTTGCATGTTCATGTACACTATTGTATACTGCTTATCTAATGTTATATGCAGAGCACCATTGCAGGACACAACATGCATTTGCAAATGTCAGACAATTTGCATGTCATTAGCATTAATCAATGGCATTATCCAAGGCCTCAGCTGGATTGCTATGTGAGAGACAATCAGGTCAGTGTAAATAGTGAACTGGCTTGATTGGATTCTGCAGGAGAACAGGCGATAAGTGTGATTCTGAATTTAGAAAAGTACACTTGAAGCTTTTGTTGTCCTCCAACAAACTAGGTCTATGGCATTGTCACTGAAAAGGGTACATGTCGGTTTCTCCGAAGGCAATAGTAAGTTGAGAGAGTTCAAGGCACTATGGAACCGTTAAACTATTCATTGTATAGGGCCTACACCTGTCATCAGGCTTTTATAAAAGCAAATATACCTAGAAAGACCTCTGATAAATTGACATAAAAGAAATTTGCATGGACTGGAGACATTTGTATAAACAACCTACCAATAGTTCACGGACAATGTCTCCCCTATACATATAACTGTGGACCAGTCAATACCTTGTTGACACTATCTATTTGCACAGACAGTTCTCGCACCTTTTATTGTGTCAACAATGTTACGAGGCAAAGGGATCTAGACTTTAGAGATGAGGGCATGATTGACAAGACTCAGAGACTTAAGGTGTTTAGTCGACTAATAGTACAGCATATATTCTCGTAAATCTGAGAATAATGTTGTCATTTGCAGACTGCTGGTAGAAACCATACCCCAGTGTTGAGGTTGGCATTTCAAAACATTTGAATTTATGCAATATTTTTTTTCTTCTGGTAATCAATGCTTAGTGCTATGCACATCTTGGATTTTACAATTCCAAATCACAAGACAATGGTCAACTCTTCCCTAAATGCTCACCTACATATGCAATTTTTTAACTCGATGCAAGATTTTTATACGCAGCTGGATTTTTATCTCCTGTGATGCTCTTTATCCCAGCCCTTTATTTAAAATGTCACAAGCATGCACATTCCGTGAAATGTTCATCCATTCATTGGATTCCAAGATACTTTCTTTCTGGAAAAAGGTCACACTAAATTTCTATTCAAGAACATCAGCACCGAGCAACCACTTTACAGCAAGCAGAGAGTGCCCATTTTTGCCTCCATGCCCTTAAAAATCTCAATGACAACAGATCAAATAACAGTGTACAATACTTTCCAGCACACATACAGTACGTCTATGTACAGGACGGACTGAACAACCACTTCTTGCACCCCCCCTGAAAAAAAAAATTACACGCATTGTAGGGTTTCTGTTGTAGTAAAGGTCAAAGGATGAACCACACAATAATTCCAGCTTAACGTACATTTCACAAAACTTAAGCTGCTTATTTTCCACTGTGATAATAAGATACAACGGAACCCTATGAGTTAATTCTACATTCCAACATAACAAATTACAGTTTGAGCTTGATTTCTTATTATTTATGTGTGTGATAGGTGTGTGGAGTTTACATCATGAACTACACCAACAATTTAGAATGCACATGGACATGTATATCTATGCTGTCTGTTATATTCAGAACTAATGAACCTTACGCAAAACATTTTCAAAAGACTCTTTGCCAGCTCAGAACTGCAGTTAGCCTACAACCGATAAGAATACTACAAACATCAATGACCATTTTGCATGACATTTCAGATTTGCAGAAGATGGTAAAATGTTGGTCTTTTCAAATCTAAAATAGTCGTGCATGCCAGCCATTTTCCAGTAAGAGCAGGGATACACACTGGTAGAACTGGCTGCCATTCACAACCTCCATTAGTAAAATAACAATCATGTACAATGGGCCTAACCAGTCCAGTCTGCTGTTCTGGGGAAAAACCACAACATCAGGGGTCAAACAAGGTCAGGGGTTAAACAAGGTCAAGGGCCAAGAGATCCAACTGATCCACTCCAGGATCATTATCCGAAACCCTTGGCAAAAGTAATATCACTTTGGATCCTTCGTCAACTTACCGTGGCCGTGCCCCATTAACTTCCCCTGAATTGTGGATGTTTGTCATGGAGGCACTTTTTCTAGGGGAACTGTGAAAGAGAAGAACTACAGAGTGTGGTAAGGCATACTACAAAGGCGTGCACACTACTGCTGTACACTTGCCCGCATATGTATGTGCCTGCCATGTGCCGCGCTTCATCCAGGTTAATCTACTTCATTTGCATTGTCAAAATATTTTCATTCTTTTATTGTTCAGGCCAAAATATGTCAAGTGACTTACACGGATCACTACCTGCACACGTACATGTATCCCTGTACAAGTTCATAGTGGTAGAAGAATTGCATGCCTACCCATTTACAATACCATACATATCTACAAGTACGGTACATGTACATTACACATTATAAGCAGAGTCTAACATGTACATTAATATGCACATACCGGTACATGTAGGCTACAACTCTACTTCAATTAGAGATGTATCTGAAATAGATGTATATGTGGTTCAGTATCAAAGCCACACGACTAAATTTTGAGCCACGCCCACCCTTGTCTCTTTCCATATGGTCAGAGTTGATTCACCAAGGTTTAGAACTTTTGCTACAAAGTCCTGTTTCTCATTGTAAAAAAATGCCTTCTATGTGCATGTATTTACATGTATTTACTACCATTCACCACTCGATTTCCAAATGAAGTAACCCCATAATTTTGGGTTCTGATCAACATGTGAAGCAGCTCTCTAATATGGTTCACATGTTTGTGGTAAATCACATTCACGCCTAGTAAAACTCAATTTAGGCTAGCTAATCACCGAGGTACCGGTAGGATGGATTTCATCATATTCATGCATTGTACTATCACTTGCAGCAAGTATTTTTGGAAACACAATAAGCCATTTGTGAGTTAAATTTGAATAAAATCTGGTGCACTGAGTTATCTGACTGCGTATAAACATAACAATTTGAATTCCCCAGACTAAAGACACTGTTGCTATACCTCGTGATTCGGGGCAAGTTTTCGCATAGCGACCACCATCTCTGGAATAGTCTGATTCCTTTGTGCCCTTCTTAACCATTGAGAACAGTGTATTGTTGCAAGGCGTCTCTTATGTAACTAAGCAAAAGCTTGCCCCGAATCACGAGGTATAGCAACAATGGTTTTAGTAAGGAGAATTCAAGTTGTTATGTTCACATGAATTTAAAAACTCAGTGTACCAGATTTGGGTCAAAGTTAACTCGCAAAAAGGCTTATTGAACCAATCTGAAATTAAATACTACATTTAACTTCCATGTAGCTTCCCATTTGCATAGAGTTTCAGTAACCATCCCGCAGGAAGTTTGCCCACCTACAGTGACTACAAACTATGACACTAACATCACACTACTATTGTACAGCACTATGAAGAGTTGCAGTTTTCATGCTATGGCTTAAGAGTTTACAATGAAGAAACGAAGGTCGAACACAACAATGATGGCTTGGCACTTTAAATCCACACATACACGTACCTATTAAGGTGATATGTGTTTTGTACACAAAGTAAATATACCGTTACAACAGTTGAATGATTAACTTGCCGACTCAGACAAGTCTACAGCATCCACATTGCTGCAAAGCTAATTAAAGCAGACAATACTGTCTGCAATTCAGAAATGAAAACAATCGTTATATTGGTGTTGAATGTTAATTTCAATCTAACCAAACGTTGCAAGACTTGGTTGGACAGTAAACCTGATAAGCTACAGCACATCACAAGCAAAATGTTACAACAGCTAGTCTTAGGCTGCAGTGTACACTGCTACCTGTACATGTAGCAACTACTGAGTAAAGGGTATTTCCTTCCTATATGTTCAGCATGACACATACATGTAGGATAGTGCATTACAAAGTGCACCTGTTGGGTGGGACTTTTACAACCCTTACATTCAATTTAAAATTTATCACCGAACATGCCGAACACCCGCATGTGTCCAGTGAAAAACTAGCCGTACCACCGGTAGTATTTTTTTTAAAGCCGTACTTCCAGTCCAGTTTCCACAGCTGATGAGCCGTAAATCAATGGATGATTTACACGTATATTTTACATGTTTCAGAGACTTCACTACGTCCATTGATGATTATCACAAAGAAAATTTAAGTGCAAAGAATAAGAAATGGTGTCCCCCTCCCAAAAAAAGGGGGAGAAACAGAACTTACTTTTTCCCAGGACTGGAGCGGGGCCTTCCAGGGGTGTGGGGACGCCCACTGGCTGCGGACCCAGGCCGCGGTGTCGAGCCTCGGGGAGAGGCTTTGACACCAGGTCTGGCGCTGCTGGGTCTTCCACTCATGATACCCTCAAAAAAATGACAAGAAACCAACCAGATCCAACTCAAACACTCCAAGAGTCCAAGGAGTACTAAAATCCACTTGTTCAGGCCCCCTCACACCCTTCAGGACTCCGTTCCACAAGTCCACACCACCAGAGCTAATGGCTGCCGACCATTAACTGCACAGACCACACTCCCAGCACAGATCACGGTAGCAAGTGGACTCAACAATGGAAATCCCGTACCACACACGACCAAAGTCCCACTCAGTGAACACTACAACCAACAGCCAATGTGTGTAGCTGAACAAGTGCAATGTGTGAACCAGTACAGTATTGTACATGTGCATGCCATTCACTGGTATAGCAGCCAGTCCACACCCTCATTGAGCCAGTGAAGTGTAGTGAGGCTAGGCTTGCCTTGACTGGCTCTATTGTGCATGTGACCCAGCAGACTACACTTAAAGGAGCACTCTGTGTTGGTAGCAAAATAGAAAAAGGCATGCACATTTCAATGTATGAGTTACACAACTAAAAAAAATTGCAAATCTTAATCAGAGCATCTTATCTACCGGTGCCAGTAATTTAGTAAAAGTTCATTTGGGGGGGTAAGTTTTCTCAAATTCTCCTGTTTAGGTTCTACTTTACTGAAAAACATGCAGCTTGCCCTGACAGAAGTTTTCATTTCATTTCTGTAAATATTTTTATTGAATTAATTTTCTATTCTTCAGATTTTTTTTTCGTCAGAAACAACACATCAATAGACTGAATGTTTTTGTTTGTATGTGATGTCAAACCTGCTGTATTACCTACACTGTAAGCACTGAAAGTGGAACCCTCAAGGGTTAGGAAAAAAGAGTTTTCCACACAATGTGAAAGAGTTCAATGCTGAATGTGTGTGGGGGTGCGCTTGTACATGGTGCCTTGTGGAGTACCAGAACAATCCTTGTGAGATACTAAAGTGGTACCCCACAAGAATTTCAAGAAATAGATATTTCAAATTTACTCAAAAAGTAGGATTTTCAAGTGTCACTCATCTGTCGCAAATTGAAGTGTTTTATATAAGGGACATACGGTCGAAATTTCAACCCAGGAAACTGAATTTGGTTGCAATGGCAGTGATTTGAAATTTTTTCCGTGTTGTGTGGGAGTTTTGTACACAAAGGAAATACCCCACAAGAATACATATGTAAGGGTCTGTGTGAGTGTGTAAACACCTTCAATCGTGGACCTATAACAATGGGGGACAATAGGGTCCACGGTTGCCGAAGAGTCCACGGTTGGAAAACGTGTACAAAAGTTCCGAAAAAGTCAGAGTATGAACAAAAGAGGAACAATAGGGAGTCCACGACTGAAGGCATTTACACACTTGTGTGTGTGTGTAGTGTGTGTGCCAGCAGATTACCTGAGAGTCAGTGGACTTTCAGAAAATGTGATAAATGTTGAAAGTGTCACCAGGGACAGATGAGTCTTTCAAAATCTGAAATGCCATAAAAAAAATTGTCGAAGTAAATGTCCCATGTATCTAAATATCTGTCAGGTGCTTTACTTTCACTGTATGTATAATGCTAACTTGTACATGTACCAGTAATTATCATTGTGGGGAGGCATTCACCGCGTTCAGGGGACAAGTTCTTTCGTTAGGGAAATTTGAACCAAGTTGTGGGGACATCTGTGTGTCCCCCCAATGTTTTCGGTCCCCACAAAACAGGTGAAATGTCGAGTATATGTCCCCACAACTACGGTGCGGGAGTGGATGTACCAGCACATGTATATGATAAACCTCTTTTGCTTGTTTACTTTTTTGTTCAACCCTACCTGTGGACGGGCATTCTTATTTGGAACCTTTCTGAATATTCCAAAACCCTCCACAAATAAAGAAGAAACTAAGTGAACGAGTAACACTTTCCCCAACTTTGCAATGTGGCATAAAGCCCCATGAATAGATGAAACAAGAGTACAATAGGCTCCACCATCCCCAATCCTACACAATCTGTTAGAAGCCTCCGGCAGACTTTACTTTTGCTCCCAAAGCAGTAGCCGCCTTGGTCAAGGTGCCATACTGTTCCTTTAACTGACCCAAATCTGAATTGGCGGGAAAACCAAGCCACTGCAGAGGCTGATAGCATCTAACTTCATGTATAAAACTCACAGCACACAATGAATGCAAAGGTAAGATGATAAAAATAGAATGATTACAAATACAGATGTTCAAGGTCTGTTGGATAATCCTGTGGCATGTTACAATTACAATGCAGGTTTTACCGGGACAGGGACCAGGTTTTTTGGGGTGAGGCCCTCTTTCAATAGTTGACTCAACTTACCAGGATGCGGGATACCAGTACATGCGATAACAAAGCACAGTAAAGTGCACATGTCCGTGTAAGTTACTGTGCACCACATACAGTATTTCTACCTCTCCCCAAAATTCTCAATATTCAGGAAATGTTAGTATTCTTCAGGAAAGCTTTGGAAGCTTAGAGAATAATTTGGATAAATTTCCAAAAATTTAGGAATTTAACGAGTAATTTTTTTACGGTTAAATTGGAGAAATACAACATTTCCCCCCTTTCTTTCATCACATGTTCATACATTACATGTGTACAAGTACAAAGCAAGCAGGTACATGTACTGTAGGTGGTTACATGTACACGTATGTCACATGTATGCATGGTGGGTCTCTGTTTTACCTTTAGTGCTCGCCAGTGAGACAACAAATAGCAAGTAGGGAACAGTTTGAAAATTTCAAAAAGTACCCATCAAATTTCAACAAATTCAGGACTCTATTTCAGGAGGTTTTTTGACCTGTAGAAAACTGATTTCACACCTCTAAAGGCTCTGATGATATCACTAAGTTGTAGACTGTAACATTATAGACCAAAGAATACATGAGAAGTGAATTTTATGAACTTACACGAATGTTATAGACACACACAAATACATGTACATAAAGATCTAGGTATTATTTGTGTGTATATGTACACTGTACAGACATACAAATGTACAATATACTGGGTACTTGAAAATTCCAAAAGTACATGTACATGTACACATCCTAACTGAAACTTTGTGTTACAAATATTTACAACTTGATTCTGCTGTTAACACATTCAAAAGTAGGCCTATGGTAACACTACTGACAAAATATGAAATCTACGTGTAAAAGAGACTTTTCTTCCAAATGAAAATGGGAGATAATACGCATTGTAATTACAATGATTAAATCTTACTGCATTTTCTTTTTAACAAAATCCAAAAAAAGAAAAATTAAATAGTAACAGTGCATTAGACCAAATGCTGATCACTTTCATTTCATATTAGCTTGCTTTTGGGATGCAACTTTTCACTTGCCAAAATGTTTAAACATGATTAGCGCACATTATGGCAGGCACATGCATACACTACTGATATGTGCAAACATGATGGAACTGGGAACACAGTATGGTTCAATGAAACATTTCATAAAGATAGGTTTGTCAAATACCACTGATGACAGACGAGGGAAGAGGAATCCCAAACCAAGCATGCAATGACCCAACCCTATACCCTTACTACCCCTCCACTACAATGGTAAGGTCCACCGTACACACTATTACTGACTGCTGAACAGAGAGATTCCCAAACAGTTTCTGGGACCTGCGAGTTGAGAATGCAAATTCTGTAAGAGACAATGTTAAGTTACAAAAGCTGCCTATATCAAACAAATCGTTGAAACATCTTTTTCAAAACTTCCCCGATGGTCCATTCAACCATACTGTCCCACAATCCGAACCAAAAGTAGTGAAGTATTCAAGTCAAGACAAATGTGCACTGAGACAGATTCAATATTACATGGCATACAACAAATTAATAGTCAAGTGGATTTCAAAACAACCTGCGTGTTGACATTCCAAATGCATAATTCACAAATGATACATACAAGTCATGAATATTAATGTCGGGAATTTTGTTAAAGTACAGCCCTTGTGGTGAAGGCCATTGTCAATGAATATCAATGAGGTTATCAACCACACCCTCTATGAAACATGCCATAAAGCATCATTAGTTGTTAATAACCTGCAAGAAAGTGATTCGTCCTTCAAATTTTTGCAGGTTGTCAGTATTTGATATTTCTTTCTGGCACTGAACCAAGGATGAGCTCTGAAATTACAACTGATGACTAAGATAGCCAAAGAGTCTATTGTCATTGATTTCTTGCATGACTACTTTCAAAACTATTTCCATTTCATTCTCACTCCTAAAATGAATGAGAAATTCCACAGCAAAATAGATCCAAATAATAAAAGGATACCAAGAGTAATGATGGTCCCAAAACACAGTGAAAACGATGGACAAAATCTGTACGGACTATATTCACTTGATGAGGGGCTCTAGGGAGAGGGGTTTTTAACCCACTCTAAAATTTCTAAAATACTGGTAGGCCACACAAATAAAACAAAACCCATGAAGTAAGGATTCACTTTCAAGCAAGAGGGAATTCTTTTCTTGAAAAAATTTTCCACTTACTCCGACGGGAAGCTATAACTATCATGGGAGCCCCATTTTCTGAGTCTTCCGTCACTACCTGAGGAGCTGCTGCCAAATGACCCTGTTCTGCCCCGTCTCTGTGACTCCGGCGTGGCCGGTGAGAGTAAGATTTTGGTTTTGGACTTGGTGACATCATTGTACATGGGAGGTCTGGATGGCAAGGGAGAGTGGCTTAAAAACCCTGCAACAAAACATGAAGGGAAAAGATTACAAGGGAACTCAAACAAAACCAATTCTTTGTTATTTTTATGTTTGATGAATGCAAAGGAGCAAACATTTTAAACGTTTGAGGATCATTTTCCAATCAAACCGCTAAAAAATGGGAACTGGCATTACAAAAGAAATCCTTGGGGAAGGAGGTCCATGAATCTTTTTTCAGTAAAATAAAAATAATTTTGCATCTGTCACAAAATTGTGCAATGATCTATTGTCTATTGACGAAGATCATAAATTCGGGTAAAGATATATCCTCCGTAACTGCACTTTCTCAACTCCAGAGTTAATTACAATACAAACAATAGGCCATCCAACCTCCTGAAGAATATCTTTGATACTACTCGGCAATATAAGTTATTTGCCTGGTTAAAACTGCAGCTTAATTACAGACTGAAGCAACCATCTTAAAAAGAGAGGGAAATGTACTGGAATCGGTATGTGAGCTGTCATTAACATAAATGAACATGTACAGCATACTAGTCCATGTACATGACAATACACACTACTGATGAAGTGACAAAGAATCACTTGGAAATGGACTGCTCTTATCCAAAATCAAAACAGAGTGTATTATTGGGATAAATCAAAATCTATACTTCCACTTCTGGGATTTATTAAACTTCTTGGCAACTGCAGAATGCAGCAAATTACTGATTTCTCTTTTTTTCTGAACAATAAAATATAACTAAAAATTAAACCAAAATATGATTTTAAAAAGTGGAAAAACAATGTTCTTAGGTCAAATAATACAATGTATGTATTTCTAAACTCATAAACCACAGTTGAACACAACAAAACTCTACAAGTACATCAAAAACTCTGTTCAGCGAAGTATATGCTCAAATGTGCATCCATATTTCATAAAACACTCTGGGCTCGGTGCCATATGGCTCAACTTAACGTGTGACAAGTGTACATGTATGATGACCTTGTTGTTCATCTCCTTGCGGCAGACACACTTTGTAGGAGAAATTATATAGCCCCCTCTATATTGCCAAACAGTCAACCAAAAAGCATGGGAGAAAAAAAGTTGCTGATATCAGTTGGCCAGTGCCATAAGCACCTGTCATACATGTACCTTAGGCCTATAGACGAGTCAGAATTTTTTACCAAAATGACAAATCAAAAGTACAAGTCAAATGTCATGCAAAACGGGGATGGAAAACATCATGGTACTGCATCCAGATCTTAGGAAAACCTTGTGACTGCTTCTCAAACATGTTTTTTTTCCCTAATACTATTATGAACAAAGAAATTGACTGAAGTGGGATTTGGACCAGCGACCCCCAGAATACCATACCAGTGCTCTACCAACTGAGCTATTCAGCCCTATATGTACATTGGGGGCTCTTTCCATTTGTCAATTTTACAGTAAACAATACACAGTTACTGTACACGTAGGACTGTCAGATGTACCTTACATGTATTTACTTTGCACTGATGGATGAAACAACAAACATCCCTTCACCAGAGTACACAGTGACTGAACCACAACACTAATGCAAAGTGATCCAATAGATATTCAAGGAAAAAAAAGAAGAAAATCTTCAAAGTAGAAGTAAATAATTTCAAATACTTCTTGTGATCTGCATCTAACCTTTGCCAACTTTACTCCTTCACTGCAAAATCCAAAAGTTCAGTTAGAGACACTGAATCTACCTACAGGTAATGCAGCGGTGCTTCAGGAGACGGCATACAGTTAGTGCAAGAGTTAACAGTGATGCACAGAGTGTGTGCGCTATTAGTACAAGGGCTTACCTGTCAAATCTTTGATTTTGAAAGGTCCTTGCGGTACCCCTGTAAGGTGACATCCATAGTGCAGAGGGTGTTAGGCTTCACAAACCAATGAACCAGCATTCCCGATGAAGAGGAGATACAAACGTTCTATGCACCTAGCAGTGGCATGCTCCAAACATGAGTTGGGCGAGGGGATGGCCGCTTGGCTGGTTGCTTGCTTGGTTTTTTTTTTTTAGATCATGCAATGGGGGTATTGTTTGGCAGCCTAGGGCAGGGGGGAATGCAGGTTTGCAGAGCGTGAGTCTCAGCTGAATACCAACATGTACCATGCAGCACATGACAAATTAATTTGCATGCAATGATAGACAAAAGTATAAATCAAGTTTTTCACAAAACACTGTCTTCTTGCCTTTTAGTCAGTTATTCACTGATCTCCTGCAATCGCGGAGTTTAATGGCATACATGTAGAAGAGATGTATTCCATGGTGTGTAGACTTCTTTGCACACAAACTTTTGAAGTGCAATGGAAGCTACATGTACATGTGCACAGCTTTTTGGCAACTCCATTATTTCATCCAATCACAAAAACATTAAAGTGGACCAATCTGAAAGCAACACAAAAAACTCAGATGTACTTTAACGACTGTGATTGGAAATTCAATCTTTGGGCAGCAATGCAAAATGGCAAGATGACTGTGCATTGTCTGTGTTAGTAAGCATGCACATAAGCTACCAAAATAAATACTAGTAGGTAATGTACATGTACTTTTAACATGATACGCAAAGAAACAAAAGCCCCAACAAGGTACATGTACCTGGTACAAAAACATGAATATCTACAGTATGTATGCAACCCACATTTGTACCAGTATGTTCATGCAATTTATTTTTTTATTTTACAAAGTCCAATCACAGTGTACCGGTACATAAAGGAGTACACGTACATGTACCATATACTTTTTGAGGTACATATACAACATACATGTACAGGTCTATCACACATGTACAGTATGCATCACTTTTTTAAAAGGAGCCAAAATATTTTAACACTTACAAAATTAACTTCATCCAAGAGGCACTTTTTAAAAAATCAGTTCACATACCAGGTACATATCTCCAAACTAAATGTACATGTACAATGTTACAGGCCTTCGCACAAATGTCAACTCAGTTGCCAGAATTAATTTGCACAGCCAATGGTGCAAACAATACTTTGCCAAGTCAACATACAATGTATGTTGAACCAAAACTAAAACATGTACATACATGTAGATGCATACATGTACATGTACCTCAACCTCCCATTCATTTGCTGTCATAATATGCAGAAAGTTTAGAAAGTCTGGCAACTACAAGTATTTGAAGGTACGTACATGTATTTCAATATTAGCACTAGGTTCCAGCAATATGCGTTTTATTCAAAGTTTAACATTCATATTTTGCTTTGCAAATTAATGGATAAGAGAATTTAACCACAAATGCAAACAGCTGTAAATGTACCAAATAATCTGTTTTAAATATAAAGCAGTTACATGTACCGGCGCCTGTAAGATTATGGGGAAATTTCAAATTCTCACAAACATTTCAAATTACATGCACATACCGTAGATTCATCTGACAGAAACCAATTTGTTCTCCCAAAAAATCAATAACACAAAATATGGAAAATTCATGCTGACTCAGTTAATATTTGACAACAAAATACATGCAAAATGTGCAAGTCCCTGGACATTCATTGAAATGGAATGGATGGTGCATTTTTCAGCAGGTTTGGAACCAGGCAGCGAGAAGTGCAGGAAAAAACATTCCATCAAGAATATAAGTATACAGAAAATAAACCGATCGACTGAGCATGGTGGATGATCATTCTTCTTTAGATTTCAGCCCTTTACAGTGGTGTACATGTACATGTATGTACCATCAATTTTGTTTATCACCGGTATTTATATATTTTAAACAATGCTGACATACTTTGAAAACTTACTACTGCACTAAGGTACAGTATGCATAATTACAAATATCTAAAAATGTGCCTGTGTACTAAAAATAGCTTGGCTTTTCAAATGTTAGTGAGAATTTTTAATTCTAGTAAACTTCCAAACGTTCCATACTTGAAAATTCCACTTACAGAATACTTATTACCATGTACAACTAACAATAAAAATTGTGTAAGTTTTTATTAGTGTGAGGCCAACAATACATGCAGCACAGGTCTAGTACGGGACAAAAGACTATGACGCCTCAGTCACAGGGTTCTATGATAATGAATTCTGACAGGCTATTGTCTTTTGCAGCAGATGTTCCGGCTCCATGCCACACATGATGGGAAATATGCATGAGCTGTTGGCAAGAATGGTGCCCAGACAAATGTTCAACCAGGCCAGTCAATGAGTTAATTGTCAATTTCAGCCGGCATTTATTAACATTTCCAGAACGTCACTGCCAGGTTTAAAATGAAACATTTAAAATGAATGCGTCATTTTCATGAATTCATTTTTCTAATCATGCATCACTAGTTATACATACACATGTACCTGCACAAGTGCACATAAGCAAATGACTTTTTTAATATAAAATGGAATGGTTGGGGAAGTACAAACACATAGACACCACACAAGGCACCATATTTCAAAATACATGTACATGCATCAAACCACTTCATGCAGTAACTTGTCAGACAAATCACCTCCCCCCCAAAAAATCTCCAAATTTCGGAGAAATGAAAAAAATATTACTTGAAAAGAGATGAGCAAGCACTGCTGTGCACGAAACCAAACGTGGGAAAAGAAAGTGCACACTGACTTAGTTCAGCCAGACAGTGAGAAGAATACTATCAAGCAAACCAAAAAGATAGATTCAAGATGTACGGTAGGCTGAAGTTTTTATGGAGCATGCAAATGTTTGACGAAACTGAAAATCCTCCGATGAATGTACCAATTAAACAACCAAACACTCTGGATGACAGCAAAATCAATGAGAGTCTATGTACATGTATGTACATGTTCATGTACATGTATCTTGCCAGCAGCAAAAGCGAGACATAATGTAAAATGTACGGTATTGTGATAAATGACCAGTACTACATGTGGTACTTGACAATACTGTAATACTCTGTTCATACATGTGGTTCATGTACATTGTACGTGTACCCTACAGCTTTCAACAACACCTACATGACTGTCAAGAAAGCAAAAAGACATTTTACAATGTAACTGAGGTACATGTCCTCGATCCTTTTTGGCCTTTTTCCATACTTGATTGTAACCATGGTAATTGTCAAGAAATTTGGGTTTTTGCAACTGAGCATTTCCATTATTTGGGTAGTGGTACTGCACCCTCATTTGCTTGGTCAATTTTGAATGTTTAAAAAGTGCACTTTACAGTTCACTCAACTCCAAACAAATTTCAAATGTTTCGTACACTGAAGAAGAGTTTAAACATGCACAAAAAGTGATACTTAGAAAAATTCACTGCACTGATCCTTAAGCACCTTCAATCGACTTTAATCTTCCTCTCCGTCATCTAATTCTACATGACGCTAACAGCTTCACACGTTAATGAGTGCTGTTAAATGTACATCAAAGTATCGAGTGTCATTTGTAAAATCCCCCTGAGAAATACTGCTGGCAATTTTCCCCATGCGCAGTCCCACTCGACTCAAGTCATTTCTATATCCCAATCAATGCTCTGTGAAATCTGGAAAATTGAATGAGCCCCCAGACATGCCAAATAATGCACCTGTGCTGAGGCAGCAGACTTATCACATTGCCCAGACACAATCAATGCATGTACCGGTACAGTACTCACCTCGCTGTGAATTTTTACAAGACTCTAATGTTGCTAATCTTCTTACTACATCAGCCAGAGCTGCTTTGAGACACGTTATCTCATCTTCTTGGTCTTTAACCTGTCCCTCCAGCTTGGCAACACGCTCATACAGATCAAAGCCATAGTCGGGTACATCAGGGTTTGTCGGGTACAGAAACTCTTCTGTGAAATGAACGTCAAGATGAACTTTAAATTTCAAGGTTGTTGTGCATATGGCATCATTTTGTGAAAAAGGCAAAGTTTATGTGGCTCTGAGTCCACATCTTCAACTTACTGAATTTGGGACTTTGGACTGTCAGTTGTTATTGAGGCAATGACTTGAAAGGCTCATATTAATTTACAGCAAAAGACAGCACATGATGCTAGCAACAAGCCCAAGTCCAAAGTCTACCAGAGGGAGGACTGAAAGTCAGTCGGTCTGTCAGTTGGTCAGGAAGTTGGTTTGTTGGTCAGTCAGTCGGTCAAAAACTGAACAGACACTGAATTGTTCAGTGCTGTCACTGACTGACCAGTGCTGTGTACAATGACTATGAACCAGTACATGTATTAGTTAGTACATGTACCTTAACATCTACCATCACTGTAGTTGAATTTTTAAACTTTTTTAAGGAATCCGGGAGACAAACGCAAATAAGATTGCAACATAATATGACCTGCAGCCAGAAAATATATCAAAAACCTTGGTTCTCATAAAATATTAGCTGGATATTAGAACATGCAATGGTTTGCATGCACACTATGGATAATTTACCAAAAGGCTTTGGTCTTTTTGCTCTTCCCTTGTGCGCCAACTTGATCAACGGTTGTGTCTGCCTGTTTCCCCTGATGACACCCACCTCGTCCTCAATGGAATCAACCTCATACAACTCGGATGTATCCCACAAGTCCCTGCCACTACCAAAGTCCCAAAGGTCATCCGCCATTTTGGCTTATTGACAATTCATCAGATGAAACACACCACTAGAACGCATGCACTTGGCTGTCAAGGTGCAAGTCACACTGTACCAGCATATTTTTTTTTCACAAGCGCGTGTTTACATTCACAAAGCAGGAAAGAATTCATTAACATATTCCGCCGTACTTGGGGCAGAACTTCAGAGCAGAGACTCGAGCTCGTGGGGACCTCTTTCGGGGCTGTGACAGGATTTCCTTCCCTAATTTCCTGGATTCAGATACTGAATGACTGCCAGACATGCCATCCAAAAAATGAAACTGAAATATTTGATGTTCCCATAATTAAAATGAAATGAAAGAATGTAACATGGTATAAACACACAAGTCCATATTTATGGTTTACATGTACATTCGCTCATACATGTACATGTACACACATGTACATGCACAATGTACCGGTACTAGTAGTTAACACTGAGAAAGTGATAAACTTCCAACAAGAACAACCTTAATAATCTGGGCATTTTCCAGATAAGATTCCCATAACACTAATGAATCAGGCTTAGCGGTAAAAGTAGTTTGTCACTACAATACTTACTTACAAATGGGTCATTTTATAAACTTGGGGTCCAATTTTATCATGTCCCTATTACATCTGGTATATATGTACTCATACATGTATGATCTTTGCCGGGCTTATACATGTAGGGTAATTTTAGAACAAATTCTTCAATTTCCAAAAGTGATTTGCACATTACCTACCCAACAAACAAAAAATAGCTGGAGTCACTGGGTGGCGGAACGAGGGGGCTGTTGTACCCCCCTTTGAAAAGGTACATGTAGTTATTTTGCCCTCCCCCACTTTATAGGCCTACCAGCCCTTAGAGGTACAGTGTACATTGCAATTTCATTATATTGTATTCTTTTCAGTCTAATGGCCAGGTCTTGCCCCTCCTCCCACTTTTAAAACTATTCCGTCACTTTTGTTGAGTCCATTTCAATGATGCTTAGCTAGATGTAACAGGAACAGAAAAATGTCACACGTCACGACCCCAAATTTATAAAATAAGCAAAATCTACAACTTTTGCAAGAAATCTACATGTACATGTACATGTATATCCAATATACCACACATTGGGGAGTCAGGTTGGCATAGCGTTTCTGTCCTCACCTTTTTACCTCTGCGCCAGGGTTCGATTCCTGTTTAGTCCACATGTGAATTGGGTTTTCAGTCCTACATGTAGCTAACTGATTCCGTGAGTTAACCAGAATATTTTTCTGGGGTTTCCTTCCACCTCTACTGTCTCCTCTCCATAGCTTTCTTTACTTTGAGGAATCCTTGGTTTATTACCAGAAACACTGAATAGTATTAATATTAATAACATACAGCATAACTACAACTGCATGTACAAAAGACCATAAGTACATGTACATTATACATGTACATGTACATTTAGAACTGTTTTGCAATGCAAAAGTTGCAGAGTCCCTTTATAGAGCATGCCAAGTTGTTTTTGGCATTTACATGTACCACAGCTTCACTGTTTCCCTATTCAATTCATCAACACAATCATAAAATGGACATACCGGTAACAGGATGGGTTATTTTTGCATGTGTAAGAGATCAATGTCTGAACTCTGACAACATCTAGGGTATGGTACCTGAAAGGGGGCAGATTCAAGAAGGCTTTACACTGGCCAAGGGGAGTTTCTCTGACTCAGGAAGGCCAAGCTAAGAATTTAGAAGTCAAAGAATGAATGTTTTATTCATCACTCCTGCAATCTGAACACCTCAGTTCAATGCATCAGTCCCTAGGCTATTCCGGTAAGCTCTGAAGCTGAAGCTTTTCACATGTTCAGCGTAAGCATAGGCACACCACATTTATCAAAATGTTAAAGGTGTGCTTGGTGGTTGTGAGGGAAATCTTGGGTTTAAAATCTACCTTTTACGTGCCATACACATCAGCATCCTCAACAGTGTCCTGTCACCATCTGTATGTACCAGTACTAGAGGAACCAAATGATATGGGTGAGCTCCTAAGGTCAGTCATCTTTAGCCTGTGACTGTGACATATGCCTCTCCGAGGAAGAGCCAATTATTGAGACATCACCGATGCGATTGTGAAGCCAAGAAATCCCAGAGGGATTTATGTTTGGTGTCGGAGTCTTCCAAATATGGGTCAGAGCTTGTGGGCAAGTTAAGTTCAAGACTATCTGGGAGATTTCAAATATTCGGGACTCCAATAAACCAAGCAGGGATGTAATGTGAATCCCAACACAATAAAGATACACTGTACCTCAAAGTACAGTGCATGCAGGTCTACCACACTGACCAATACTATAGCTGAATGCAAAGTTACACATTATTGTATGATAATTATTGATACACAATATTAGCATGTGGATCATACAGCAAGAAAAATACAGTACATGTACATTTACAATGCACAGAGGATGTACTTTACACAGCTACCGGTACATACATGTACATTGACTATACTACATGTATACCAGTACATGAAATCACTTTCCCAACACATTATTATGTACATGTACTAGTCCTGGAAAGTACTTTCTCGAGTACAGTGAAGTTCAGGCATACATGTACATGTACATGTATGTATACATGGGATATGTACATTACATGTACTAGTAATGTACACGACACTGATGACTGATCAATTCATCAAGAGCTCATAGTTCAAACAACTGCGTTGTTGATTATCTCCCAACCAGTTGCCAAATCAATGACGTGTGACACTGCATCAGTAATTTCAAGTATCACAGCAAATGTTACACATACTAGTACATGTACGTATGTACCCAAATATATCTTAGAAACGGGACTAGTGCAAACGATTTGGCAGGTGCTATTAGCTTTATTGCAGCCATGGTCTGAAGAATGCAATTGGTGAACCCTGTTTTTTTTGCAAAGTAGTATACATATGTATGAACAGTCTGCCTACCGGTAGCTCTTCTTCAACAAGACTAATTAATGCTAATGACTATTTCATTTCAACAAGACAAGCATAATTAAATTTTGTGAGAATTAAAGAATTAGATTTGCAAGATCAAAAATAAAATTGACAGTGCGTGTAGAAATTAGTGCTTTCCCGTCCCTGAAATTCTTTCAACATTTTAACTTTTGTTTTGAGTGGGCTGTTAAACTGTGGATCCAAACAAGTAATCCCCTGCTTACTACAGCCATGCATAAATCCATGTGCATACACTCTACACGTATCTTTCATATCATTTGACGTCAGTCTGGTTGCCGTGGCAAAATCCAGGGATATTTTAGAATTATGTAAGGTCTTTTGCACCCAAAAATGTGATATTTCTGTCACAATCATGTGCTTCTTGGCAGATACTTCTAAGGAGGTCAACCACAAAATGACAAAGTTTTTGGTTATGTTTGTTTTTTTTCAACTTTTGGCTTTTCACACTCTTGAGATCCCCAATATGTCAACAGTATACCCTAAAGATTTAAGACTGTAAATACTGCCAATAATTTTTAATCATTTGCAGATCAGATCAAAGAAATGCATCCTTCTTGGCTTCCAGTGCCTTTGCTGAAATGTATCAATTTTTATTGCAGCCCTTTTCCTGTGAGGAAAATGAGGCCTTTCCCAGATCACATGATGGCACTACTACTTTAAATGGCGGAGCAGCAAGGCCAAATTAACAGATTAACGACTCAGACTTCAGCAGACTGAGGAAAGTTTTGCTTCCCTTGACAAGGGAAAGGTGTGCATATGGACAAAATATTTAAACCTGCCTTCAGCTAACTGTCAAGACATTTTTTAGACAGGGTGCATCACAAATGAATCTGTAAGTCCCACATTCTCGATGTGCACACATTCCTGAATGCTGGAATACCAGTGTTACCTCAGAGGCCTGAATTATGCACTGGCTAAATACCACATCCAAATCCAAAGCCTGTCAGTTCACACAAGCCCAATGACCCCTCCCAGGAAAAGAGGCTGGGGGTTCAATCTAACCCATGCAGTCCTTTTCCAAAGGCACTTGGCATGAACACACAACTGCCAACAAAATTTTGACCCTAATTGAAAAACAATCATCAAATTAGTCAGCAATCACTTTGGTTTCTTCTACAGTCTTTCCTAAGTTCAATAGTTCTTTGGGCATCAGTCTGAATTATAGATGTAAATTATGCTAGATTAATGCAGCATCTAACTACATGTACATGAATCTAACCAATTTTACCATTGCAGCCTCCGAGGTCACATGTTTTAATGCATGCACTCAC